GGTTTTATGAATACATATTTGGTTTGAATATATACTGGGTGAAAATATTTTTTGGAAAAAATGTAATACACTTCTCATTCTTCCTTTTGGTATATGACCTTTTCAGTGTTCAAATAAAGGTATAAACTCAAGAAGATGATGGTAGTTAAAAGGAAAAGAAGTCATCACTGCTCAGCTTTCAACCACAAAAGTGAATTTTATATGTGTATGTTTGTAATAGGACAGCAATTTGGAAAACCAAGCCAGGGCTTTGAGCACATTAGCCAAGTGCTCTGTCACTATAATACACCTCCAGCCCAGAAGACAACTTTTTCTACATTCTAACAGCTCTTTTTATTAATCAAGAGCCTGATTCAGCCCACTTGGACCACACCGCTTTAGTGTATTAAGATACAAGTACCAAGAATCAAAGCTACAGCTGGGCATTATGATGCATGCTTATAATCCCAGCCCTCGGGAGGTTGAGGCGGGAGGACTGCTGTGAGTTCGAGGCCAGCCTAGGCTACGCAGGACAGTATAAGCTATATAGCAAGACCCTGTCACACACACACAAAAAAAGAATCCATGCGAGAATAAGAGAAATGCACTATACTGAGGAAAGAGTATGTGTGTATGCACATGCATACAAACGGGGGTATGCAGAGAGAAAGGCGGTGGCGGGGGGGGGGGGAATCCTTCACTAGTTACAGGCTGAATTATGTTCTCCAAAATTCATAAATTGAGGTCCCAACTCTTGAAACTAAAAATGTAATCTTATTTGGAGACAAGATCTTTAATGAGGTGATTTAATGAGGTGATTAAGTTAAAACAAGACCATCTGGGGTCCTAACCCCATATGATTGATATCTAAGAAAGAGAAGAGTCAGTAGATATGCAAGAACACAGAGGGAGGGAGCTCCATGTGAGGATAATGCAGCAAGAAGGCAAGCCAGGTGTGTGGCCTCTGAAGAAACCAACCCTGCCAATACCCAGACTTTTGAGAAAACAAAATTTAAGCCACATAGTTTGTCCACCTAGCAAACTAATATACTTCTCTAGGCTGATATCCTTTACATGGAAGGCAAATAAGGTAGGTTTGGAGAATCTACAGAAATAGATTCTTTCTCACTTTTCTGGCCTCTGATAGGAAAAATTTCAAGTTCCCTATTCTGTATTTAATAACCTAGATAACAGATTGAAAATAGCAGGATGGTATAATAAACTGGAAGGCACAAATACCACTTTTCTGATTTCTCTGGAGCAGGGATTTGTAGACTGCCCAGGATGCCCAGACAGCAGCAATGGACATATCCTAGCACCCAAATCTTGGCTACTAATTCCATTCCCCAATAAAAGAAATGATAGCAGGACTGAAGCAGTACGTACACAAGATGAGCCAGCAGCATCTTACAGTACCAAAAAGGAATGAGTACGTCACGATAAAATTAGGTGTGGGGTATATGAAAATTCTCTGTACTTTTTGGCCTATAAAAGTAAGAAAGGGAGATAAGAGCCAACTGAAGAAACTTCCCAATGGCTGGAGCTGGAACAATTTGAAAAACAAAATAAAATAGCACTGAATTGTAGTCCAAAGTAAAAAAATAAATATCCAGAAATTTGCATTAGTTTCTAAAATAAATGACAGGATAAATTAATAAGTGAGGGAAAAGAGACAAATCTCCTATGGAGAAGAACTCCAAACAGTTTATGTAGATATACTGCCCCTTTAAAGAGTGTAACTTGATACTCTTCATTCACTGACCATAGCAGCAAATAATGACTATCTTCCAAAGCACACAGTACGGAAGGGAGAAAAAAAGAAAAGCTTTACAAGGGAGAAAGCTGACAAGCACTACCTCAAGTCAAGTGATTATAAAGTTAACAACAAAATAGATAAGTACTTTGAAAGATGTACCCTTGATATGTTGTGATAAAACTGGTACTTTACCTCCATTGGGCTTTCTTCCAAAAACCTTAACTCCAGTTTAACCCCAATAAAAGAGTCAGATAAGCAGGCATGGGGTGCATCCCTGCAATTTCATCTACTTGGGAGGCTGAGGCAGAAGGATGGTAAGTTCAAGGCCAGGCTAGGCAACTCAGTGAGACTTTGTCTCAAAATTTAAAAATATAAAGGGCTGGGGATGTAGGTAAGCACTCCCTACATTCAATTCCTCTGGTACTATGAGAAAGAGAATTTAATCAGACAAATTCCAACTGAAGATCATTCTACAAAATACCTAATCAGTAATCCTCAAAACTGTCAAAGTTATCAAAAACAAAGAAAATCTGAAAAAGCATCATCAACAAAAGTAGCTTAAGGAGTCATGATGACTAAATGTAATATGGTATCCTAGATGAGATTCCAGAACAGAGAGAGGACATGAAGAAATATGAATAAAGCACGATCCTCGGTAATAGTTTACCAATACAAGCTTATTAGTGGTGACAACTGTACTAGGATGGGAAAACTGGGTATGGAGCATACAAAAATTCCCAGTACTATGATCATAATAATTTTCTAGCTCTGAAACTCTTCTAAAATAAAAGTTTATTAAAAGAAGGTACAGACAAAAACTAATCTTTCTATTTATTAAGCACCTCAGAGTCTCCTAATTAACTCCAAGAATGTTCACAAGCATTCGAACAAAGATGTTACAACTAGCTCAAAATAGAGAACAGGCATAGAAGTAAGAGATGCAGTTAAGATTGTTAGGGCAACAGTTCCCAACGTACTGCGCTTTGCTATATTCTTCTGTAGCATGGCAACAGGCAGAAAATGGAAGTAGCGATCTATGATCAAATAAGACACTGGATTAAACAAAGTTAAATAGACCTCTTTACTATTGGATTTATCAGAGCCTTTATATGATAGAGGTATTATGAACTATAAGGAGAGCCAGGTCTGGTGATGCATGCCTATAATCCAGCACTCTGGAAGGTTGAGGCAGGAGGATCCCAAATTCGAGCCCAACCTGGGCAATGTGGCAACTTCACAAGACCCTGTCTGAAAGTAAAATATAAAACTAAAAAGGGTTAGGGATGTAGCTCAATGTGAAAGGCCTTGGTTCAATCCCCAGTACTGCTATATATGTACATACATACACACATACCTCTATGAGGTAGATATGCTACTTAACATTTCCCTTCAAAAAAGTTTGCATTTTTTCTCCAAATCACCCATAAACAACTCCAAGAACAGTATTCTATTTAACGATGCTCTCGGAAGTGACAGTTCTAAGGAAAAGATCCCAATAATTGAGTGGTAGGAGGGAAGAAAAATAACAAGCAAAGAATACAGTAAAGAAGGTGCAAACAGAATTTACAGTGCCCAATATTATAGAAGCAAGAGAGGAGACAGCTCCCCAAAAGCTACAGACAATAAATAGGATCAAATTAGATACTAAATAAGTTGAGGATAAAAAATGTTCTTTAAATTTGAGATCGATAACTGACACGTGTGACCTTAAAAAGTAGATTTAGAAAAGGAGAAGAAAGAAACATGGAAGACAGTATTTTAAAAGATTAAGATGGGCATGAAAAATGAAGTAGATGGAGGATTAAGAGATCCCCAGTAACTTGATTTTAGCAATGAAAGTTTAAAAAAAAGAGCTTGGTTGATAGAAGAGAATATACAGAGAAATTTTTAAAAATTTCGGACAAGAGACACCCACATCTAGTTGAAGATAAAACATGAAAACCCGCTGAGACTGATTAAAGCCCAGTGGATGGAAAATATGGAATCCAGAGTACATAGTAGAAAAGACTTTTTTTTCTTGAGATGGAGAAATCTGAATAGTAAGTCTAAAAACCTCTTTTTAATACTCCAAATCTCATGGTTTTTTGCCTGCTCTACCTAAGAGTGTTTTTCCATCTGTGTAGTTCACTGTGTAGTAAATGCACAAATTTGCTGAATCCTTGCCTCTCTGAGGATGTCTGTGCCATGAAGAGGTTATAGAGAATTTACTTCAAGGTCTCAATCTTTATGGCATTAAGAAGCAAGGTAAAAAGCTGATGACAATAAGAATGCAGGAGTCATGATTTTAAGTTATAATGATTTACCATAAATGATTTTGATACACAAAATAAAAACTTGGAAACCTAGGTCAAAAAGTGAGAATTACTAAAACATTCAAAAAGAAAAAGATGTATTATCTCACCTAGAAATTTTCACAACTCTGCTACACCAACAGAAGTTGCACGTCACAAACTATTACTATAGCTACTAATATGCGGGTGAACACAAGATTGTTAAGTAGCAGTATGGTATGGGTACAGTTCGGACTTAAACTTTTAAAATTTAATACTTTATATTTTCTATCAATATAAAACACCAATCCGACGAGCTACTTCACCATACAGTTTCACTTTATTTTCGTTTAGGAACAATGAGGACACAGACATGAGATTCCGTTGCTTAGAACTTATTTTTAGAGTCTACCATTTTGGATAATTTCATTAACAATTCAAATTGAGTAGGTAATTATGGATTAACTAGGTTCGAGCTGCAAATATATGGCTCCTAGATCCATTTATCATATTTTAATCACGAATAGGCAGTAACGTGTGATTTCCCTGATAACAAATCTAAGAAGTTTATGTTGCTTAACGTAATGTATTAATTACCCAAAGAAGAGTTAGAGGAGGTATGATTTTTTTTAAGTAAAGAAATTAATATGATCCATGTGCACGGAATAAGGATGAGGTAATACGCACACCAAACCTGGCAGCCTCCACCAGATTTGCATCTGTGAACCTAAGGCGGCCACATAGGTCAGATTAGCACTGCCAGCTCAGCAGCATCCGCACACAGGCCACTCTGGAGAACCAGAACTTGCAGCCAGTATCTGGCAGGGACTAGGGAATGTGGCACTGATAAACCGAGAAAAGTCTGGCAGAAACAGGTTTGTTGGGAGTAAGGGGAGCTTGCGGGTCAGCAATCCTGGAAGAGCGGAGGCGGCAGCTGCTGAAACCGAACCCAAGGGCTCACACTCACCCGGGGCTGGGGGAGGGGCCGCCCTTACCTTGTCATCCTCGCACCTCTTTCCCAGGCCCTCCCTGGCCTGCAGCCGGCTACTAAGGCGGTCGTAGTCGGCCTCCTTCTGGTCGATCTGTTTCTTGTGCGTGTCCACCAGGAGCAGGAGATCTGAGTTGCGCTTCTCCAGACGGCCGCGGGCCACCTCGGTGCGCTGGACCTGGGCCTGCAGCTCGGTCACCTCCTCCTGGAGCAGAACGTGGCGGGAAGAGATGCTCCAGTAGTTGAAGGCGAGGACAACGATCACCACGAGGAGCACCACCAGCACGAAGGAGGGCAGGCGGCCGCCGCGCCGGTTGGCCCCGAAGCCCACCATGAGGCCGAGCTGGGCTGCACCGTCGGGCCCCGCCAACGACACCTGCGGGCAAGAGCTCTGGCCCGGGCTGCCGAGGTGCGCCGGGACGCGGCTCCAGGGCCG